GAGGATGGGTTTCAGCCGAAATTTGTGCTAGTAAAAGAAAAAAAAAAAATCCTTGCCCTCGACACAGGGCTTGTGTCAGAAAGAGCTGCTGATGGAGTCAGAACCGGGATTTTTGTGAAGACTTTCCTGCTTCCCTTTTTACAGCAAGCCAAAAATATTTACGTAAATATCTCTTATTTAGGATTTAATCTGTGGCATTAACATTCCTTGCAATGGGTTCCGTGCAGCGACGTTGAGGAATGAACTCCAGGCAGCGACTGAGGCAAAGCACTGGAAATAAACACTGCGCAATAATCCGGTTTATTCTGGGAATTAATTTCCCACCTCCTGGCTCTCTCGTTATTAACAACCCCTTTGTTAGTCTGTTAGATAACTTCCTATACCACCGAGGCTGAGGAGCATCTGGGAGTGTGAGAGGGAGATCGACTGGGGGGGGCGCCCCCCCCCCCCCCCCCGGGGGGGGGGGGGGGTTTGCCATGCACCATGGTGGGCAATCAGCGTCAGGCCCTGTGGAGAGGCTTTTCTGCCCTCCCAGCAGTGGTGCCACATGCTTGGCATTGGCTTTAGAAACACAGAATCATTAAGGTTGGAACAGACCTCTAAGATCATCAAGTCCAACCGTCAACCTGTCACCACCACGCCTGCGAAACCATGTCCTGAAATGCCACATCTACATGTTTTTTGAACGCTTTGCCACCTTGCTAGGAGGAGTGCCTCCAGGCTTGTTCTTCACCCCAACGGCCCCTCACAGCTGGGGGTGCCAGGGCTGAGCCCCCCAGCCCCTTGCCTTGCTCCCTCTTCGCATGCAGATCTTGCGCCTGATGCTACGTTTCCTAGAGGGTAGAACCAAAATGCCTCGTATGAGCGACTCAGGGCAGCCATATGAACCAGCTCGTTGTCTGCTGCCAACCAGCACAGCTCCACAGACCTCCCTGGTCGCTTACCCCTGGCCTTGCTCCCTACGGTGCCAACCACCTGCAAACATCAGCCGCTAGCCCAGACCCTTGCAGCTGGGACGTGCGAAGTGTGCCCCGGGTCTGGCCAATCCCAGGATCCCAGCCTGGTGCCCAGGGGCTTCCCGGCTCAGGGCTGAGCACCCGCCCGGCTGTAAACCCATCCCGGTGTCCTTCCAGCCCGGCCCAGCCTGCCTAGGGACAGGCTAACTTCACCTACGAGGTCTGAACCCTGTCCGCTCCGCTCCACTCAGGCCAGGCTCTCTGGAGGAGAGCGAGGAGAAGGCAATCTGCTGATGAATGGAAAGGCAGGAGGCTGTAAAGTCTGCAGATATGCTGTTTATGAGTATCACAGCAGATAAGGGCCCTGCTGCTCTGCTGGGCAGGACAGGGACCGGCTCTGTGCTTTTCTACAAGCAAGAGGCCGAACAAGCCGTTACTGACATCCTCCCTCAGCCCAGCGCCTGGCAGATCCAGCTGTTAAGTTCCTGAAACAACGTTTTGTCTGCGTGGGTTTTGCAGATCCCTGGAAAGTCACCGAATCCTTTTCAAAAGGGCAGTGAAAAATAATTACGACAAGCAAAGCCTGCAGGCACAAGTTTTAGTTTCACAGTAGTGGAGAGCTGCCTCTCCCCTGGGAAATTTAACCAAGAGGGATAAAATAGTGGACAAACTATTCTTATAAAAACATGCTTTTCAGAAAATGCTTGGATTTGTTTAATCCTTTTTTATTTTTTCAGGTTAATCAAGTGTTTCAGTTTTGGTTACATTTCAGAGAATTTTCACCATCTGCTACAGTACCGCTGGCTGATAAGCAGTGGCTAAACCACGGAAAGACCCCAGTGTCCAAGCTTTGCTGTCCTTTGGGACGTCTGCCAAGATAGGCTTTTAGTGAACTAATCATGTGCAGTCTAATTTCATAGAGCAACACTTGCATTTTAAGCTTTGTGCTCGAGTCCAGTGTCAGACATGAAGCCTTTACCCTCAAAAGCATCTGTATAGAGGAATACACTCAGAACTGCAGCACGTCTGTCACTTCTGCTATCTCTAATCATCTAAGACATCTTCAGCCACTGCAGCATCTAGCTTCTACTATAACTTCACCCACTGCATTATCCAGATTTTTCCAACCTGATCCCAGCTCTGATGCAGTCCCAGCGCTGAGATGGCTTTTCAAAACCCAGCACAAACCAACTCCTACATGTGCATTTAGAAGTCAACCAACAGAACAAGCACAAAAAAACCAAAAAGCACTTAAACATCTCAGTGTCCTTCCTGAAAGGAAGACAAGGCCAAAGCAGACCAGAAGCAAATGAGGCAGATGCTCATCACATCCCTTAATGCACAGCAGAGATGGGTCCAACACTATGACAACGGATGCAGTGCGAGAAGCAATATAAAACTCAGACGTCCTATAAAGAGACGCTCTTTATAAAGATTCTTCAAAACATGGTCATTAACTGGTGGTAGCTCTATACTAGAAGAGATTATTAGTGTTAGTCTTTAATTAACCTAATTAACTGACTTTTGGTTTTGAAGGAAGAACATCTGTGGGTGGTGTATGATACAGATATCATCCTTTTTCAGTTTGGACCTAGGAGAAGAATAATCTTTCAAAGAGCTTTTTTTTTTTTCTGGAGCCTAAACCAATTTATTCCCTGTTTTCAAAGCTTCCTGGGAGGCTTTAGCTGCGGAACTCCTGTTGATTAAGGAGTTTCAGCCAACTTCAAGGCAGATTTGCAGCCAAGTTATCACGTCCTAAAGTAAGGCTTTGTATAAAAGACAATACATTAATGACAGAAACTACAGAAATTTGAAATGATATAGCTGATCCTTAAACTGAATCTCTGTAAGCATCTCGCCTTCTCAATATGTTTCAGGTCCCCGCATGCGAACCTGCAAGGAACTGAACTAGTTTCTAACGCCTTCAGAGTGGTTCAATGGGGCAAGAAAGTAATAAATTAACACCATGTGCACCTACATCTCTCACTCAACCTCCATCCTTTCAGAAAACATGGGCCTTCCCACCTTTTCATTGTACTTCTAGGAAATTCGCACCACTGTATTTGGGCAGCAGTCAGGCAAAAGCCTTCTGCTGAAAAATATGTAAAATAAAGCAGCAATAGAAGAGATTGCACACCAGCAAAAAGCCTGACCTCCTCCTCTGCCCTGGACCCTGCTAAGTGGACAAGGCATTAGTATGGACAACATACTTTTGGATTTAAAGCTTGCCACACTCCTCCTTGAGGGGAGCAAGAAACATAAAGCCCACTTACCTCCTCCGTACATCTGACATAAGTATGGAAACCTCCACACATTTCCCAGCCCCACAGCATAGGAAATGCAGGCGAAAACAAACTGCAGGGGGTTGTCCCACAGCGGCCGGGATTTCTCCATTGCCTGCTCGCAGGCAGAGGTTTCAGTGGAGCCTTCCTGCCTTCGCTCCTCCAGGTACTCTGCCAGCCCTGCCTCAGACTCCACGCCAGCCCGGCTTGGAGGGGAGGGAGAGGCGGAGGAGCTATGCTTGCCAATTCCTATCAAGCTTTTTAATTACTAATCTTATTAACAGGCACATACTGAAGTAGGAATGCTGGTAAATAGATTATAGGCACACACAGAACTATAAAATCGGTACTTGGGGTGAATAGCTGCTTGGGTTTTGACTGGCATTTCTGGGAAGGATGTGAGCCCGGGGATTTTTACCGGCTCACATGCCGACTTGCCACTGGGAGGAAACAACACGGCGGCCGCAGTCTGGTTTTGGAAATGGGACGCTCCTTCCCCACAGGGCTCTCTTCCCAAGGAGTGGCATTCGTGTGCGTGAGGCACCAGCTTGGGTTCCGCAGCACAGCGAAGGGGTTCCCATTAGGACTGGGCTTTGTTGCTGTCAGAGCTGCCTTTTATCTCCAGTATCGCTTGGCCTAAACAGGTCCTCGGGCATCCTGTCACTTGTGCCCTGGGTGCTCACCCCAAGCAGCCCAGCACACTCCCCAGTTCCAAAAGTGGCCTTGCAGCAGTCCCTGGCAGCCACGCAGGTCCCCAGCCTGCTGCAGCCTTGCGGACAGACCTCGAGTCTGACCCTCTGGGATCGCTGCCCGCCCTCCCTCCACATGCTCTGCATGTGTGCGAGAGCGTGGAACTGCCCCGTCTCTTTTCACTCCCCTCCATGCTCAAACCCCTCTGCTGCAGCTGAACTTTTCTGAGGGGTGGTTGTTTTAGAATGCCTTCAAGAAACAGGGACCAAATCTATACAGAGGCCACTGGGAAAAGGTGCCTGCGGCCCATTGCGGAGGCAGAAGTTTCCAGCAGGCCTCTGGGCCATCCCAACGCACGCTGAGGTGCCAGGTCTGAGCACAGACCCCATGCGCTTGGGCCCCTGCCAAGGTACATTTTGAGCTCAACCACTCCAAACAGGTCTCCCAGGGACGGAGGCTGCCGGCAGCATCTGCAGCAGTGAAAAAAGGGACTGAGCAAGCCCAAGGACTCATCTTCCTTCCTCTAAATGTGTTTTTTTCAGACCAGGACCGGGCACCTTTCAGGCCTGCTTTACAAATAAGACTCACTCAGCTGCCGCCAGCCTCACTCCTCCAGCACCAGGAACTCACTCCCTGCCAGCGCTGGGTGTGCTGCTCCAGCATCCCACCAGGCACCAGCAGAGCCCAGGCACCCAGCTGCAGGCAGGAGCGAGAACCCCGACCGCGGGGCCTTTGGACGCCAGCCCAAACCGCAGAGTGTGTCGTGCGGCACTGCTGAGAGTGGCAGAACCGCTGCGGAAGACTTGCCAACCAGCTGCCTGTAGCGGCAAAGTCATGAAGCGGGACGCCACTTCTTTTGCACGCGAGGAAAGGTGGCTGCAAGAGGTTTATGTATCTCCCATAAGTGAATCCATCCTTCGGGGCATGCTGTAGCGCTGCTAGAAGTGGAGGTTGCCACTGGAAAACATCAGCGTTTGCCAAACTCTTCCAGAGTACAGTTTTGAGGGAGCTCATGGTTCTTCTGCAAAATACTTCCAGTTCTTGTCTCGCCTGCAGAATTGCAACATGCCCTCCAGCCCTGGAAAGATGTCTCGTGGGTAACCCCGAATTCTGCGGGAAGGGAAAATCCAAGGTAGAGCTGTATGCTGTTAAACCGAAGGACACACGCTGAGAAGCTACAGAAACGCTAGCTGTCCCACATCACGAAAACTTTACGTGTCTGTCACTGCCTGGGGGATTTATTACCATGGATGTTTATAAATAACTTGCAGCATTTCATAACTCACAGACAGGACAGCCTTAAAAAATAGCACATCACTAGCACTTGGAATGCTTCTATGTGAACAGATCGCTGCTACTGATGAGCATAATCAAGTTAAACATTTCCTTGGCTCTGTACCTCCTTCCCATCACGTTCCAAACCAGTTTACCAATGGACTGGGGAGACTGTGCAGGCAGAGAGGTGCGCCCTCGGCTCGGGTCAGGCCAGACCAGGCAGTTCAGGTGTGATGAAATGAATCCTTGCCTCTCTCACAACTGTCAGTCTCATTAGCAGCTCGGATCACAAACTACTGTGAGTCTTATTTAAAGGCAATCAGGCACACAGACAACCAGCAAAGTGCCCGTCATCCAGTGGCTCCTTGAGAGACAGGTTTTAAATACATTTGAAGGTATTTAAACAGATAACACTCAGGGATTCTTGCTGTGGGACTTTCCATATACAGCTCAGATATAAAAACTTGAATAGCATCAGAAATAGCATATTGATTATCTCCTTTGAACTTCCTTCATTTGGGTTGGGGATGACTTGGGCTTTATCTTCAAGGACAAAGACAGGCTTCTGGTAGACACATGCAAGAACTTCTGATCATTTCACTGTTCATGTTAAAGGAGGATTAGAAAGAATTTTTTCTCCCAGTTTGAGAGTGTGGAGTTTGGGGGAGCGGGTGAGAAGGGCAGGGGTTCATCTCCACAGCACGCCAGGGACTGATAGAACAGCATGAGAACTGCCCTATGTAAACCTAATCAGAAGGTGGCAAACAAAGCAGAGAATCACTTTTCTCATGAAGCAAAACTGGAAGTAGTGAGGTGAAGGTGCCAACCAAAAATCCTGGGCTTGCATCTCTTGATGCCAGCCCAGCAAGAAGCCAAGCGCCTTCCCCAGCTACTTAAAATGCAGACAAAAAGGGAGCCTGGGGTCCTAGCAACAGGTTGGGGACCACGATTGGAGGGTGTGAGAGAAGCTTCACAGTTCTGTTGGCGAAAGAGACGGAAACACGGGAGGAAGGAATAATACACAGCAGTGGAACAAGTCTGGTATGGACAACTCCTAGATAATTCTACCAGGTAGCCTGGACTTTATTATGTCACATCTGACATGTAGGACTACAACCCCTACATTTAAAAATAAACCCTTTGGGCTTTCCTTGATGAGCCAGACATGTGGGAGGGGGACAAAGTGTCAGCAGGGGCTGGCTCTGGTGTTTAGTATCTGCCATTCCTGGAGGCACTCACTTCCAAATGGAAACATGCTGGCTGTTAGCGTAGCAGATGATTATCAAAGGGAAGTGACGGAAGAGTCTCTACAGCATCTGCAGATGCTTGGCAACGCTATTAAGGGAAGCAGACATGCAGCCAACTGAGAAGCAGCTCCCACACGCATTTTTTTTGTTTGGATTCACTGTTCACGGTTGCTACTCTAAGCCCCCTGTTTCCTTACTTCAGGAGAAAGAAAGAATCCAGCTGGATTTCCAGACCTTTGACAACTCACAGGCCATGCTAACTGTTGGGCGATTGCTCTGCGTGTAATCGGAGATGACAGTTACTCCTCTAAGCAGTTACGAGGATTGCAATTATTCTTTCCAGCTCATCACTACTACTTGCTGCTTGGTTCCGAACTGCAGATGATGCCCTTAAGGTCTGTACCCTGAAGTCACATACAGCCTCTAAATCACCTTTAGAATTGTTTTGCATTACCTCAGCCTCCCAAGAACAGCATGCCTGAGTCTCTCTTTTTATTTTCCTTGCTTTTCTTTCGCACCACAGCTCTATCCAACTTCTGATTGTGTGGTTTTTTAGGGTCGTCCCTCCATGGAGGTGCACTCAGCGCAGTTCCGATTCACAGAACTGTGCCCAGTTCACTCAGACTTCAGAATTGCCCTGTGTGAAACAAAAGAGCCACAAACTGGCACTTAATGAAATAATAAAGATACCCAGCCTGCTCAGTCAGTTCTGCTTGTTCTTCTGCCAGTTCATGCTTTCTCTCTGTCCAAGCTTGCCTGCAGCTCAGGGAGGTCTCCAGGCAGTTCTCTTGCTCACCAGCAGCTGTCAGTCATGAGCTGCCCTGTCAGAGTCCTGCACCAACCACTCAGCATCACCATTACTTACAATGGACATTGCAACATGTCCATTAACACGTTCTTAAAATTAAAAATTAAAAAATAAAAGTTTTTAGATACTAAGACTACTGAAACAGAATGACATGTATCTACCCACCTTTATTTGGAGAAGAGTTGTGTCCAGAGAGGCTGCCTGATGTTTCAGGACATGTCCGAGAGGAGACTCTGGTAAGGAGGGCAGGTCCAGGTGCCCTCAGGGAGAGTCTGTGGGCAGCCAGCGCAGGGCAGCAATCCTGGGACAGTGCTTCCACTGGGACATTGTCAAAATCTACAGTCATAGGGTAACTCCCGTGGGCACACTCTCTGCTCAAAGCCAGTTAGAAACATTTACAATAATAATTACGATAACAATTCTTACACTCTCTCATACAAACTTACCTTCAAATTACATTAAATTGTTTTTTAATGTTTTAAAAGGCTCATCCTCCTAGAACAGATCAAACTTTTAAAGTTTGATCCATTCAGCCATCTGACACTCCAAGATGATTCACTTTTGTTCCCTGAGGCAGTGAGAATCATTTCACTGTGGTCTGACAGCATTCGGCATCACACAGAAGCCAAGAGCCACCCTTGATAATGCCAGAAGAGGGAAATCAAACCAAGGAGTCTTAAGAACATTTTGGCTGTGGATTTCCCAAAAGCAAGCTATGTGGGAAGTGTCAAAGTTGCAGCTATCCTTACATCAGTCTAGCAAGAGGAGCACTTGCAGTTTAAGTGTTAATATATATTAGCATTCATCTTAGGACAGTTAAAAAAAAGGCTATTATCCACCAGAGAAAAACAGATTAAGGAGCAGTTTCTGAACAGTTAAAGAACATTGGGTAATATACTGTCTTCAGATGGTAGCATGCAGCACTGCTGGCTCATTTATTAATGACCAGCTGCTGATCTCAAGTCCCCATTAGAGCACAGGGTTGGTTGTTACTGTCAGAATCAATACCAGAGAAGCTGAGCTGCCTAAATGTCATTCCCATAGACAATGTTCTTCAGTCTGCAAGCAAAAAAAAAAAATACCACCCAGCTTGAAAGAGATTTGATTCCTACAGATCAGCCAGTTACAGAGAAATGTTCTTTTTAAACATTCCCTTCAGGCATAACTAGGGAATTAACAGCTAAAGTGGAAGAAGTGGACAATGAACTTCCTCAGGACAAAGGCTGGTAAAAGCAGTGTTAGAATTTACACTTCAGGGAAAGAAGCGAAGTTTTAGAAAGATTAGACACTGTCAGGAAAGGTTCAAACATCATCTCCATCTTTAGAATATTGTACCCATCTCAACAAAAAGAGAATGGCTACTGTATAATGCTCCAGGTCATCTTTGACAGGTACATCATCTTTGACAGATGATGTATTTTTCATCAAGAGCTCCACACAAGACCTTTGATCAGCCGTTGTGCAACACCAACCGATCAGAGCGTCGCGCTGAGCTCATATTCACCAAACATGCAATCTGCAGGACAGCTAGTCAAAGCCAGTGTTTCAATTTTTTACTGCACAGTTCTCTGCAAGATTTGCCTTACTCATTTGAGGAGGTAACAAGGTCTGTAACCACGGTTGCTTACAGCCAACTTATTTCATTGAGACCTATCCATACACTGAATCCGATAGCATACTTTCTTGCTGAGGTGGTTTCTAAGCAGATACTGAAAGCCTATCACTGAGTCAATGCTCTAGAAAAGTCAACATACAAAGATTTATCAGAAAATAGAAGACCAGCAGAAGTCATGAGATTCTCTGCCCTTCTTCACCCTTTACCTGCCATTTTAGAAGTAGTAACAGATTTCATTAAAATGAGTTTTATTACAAAGAAAAACACAATATTCTCTCAGACAAGTACTCCTGATGCTGTCAACATAATCGCTCCAAGCAAACACAGGCCAGAAAGCTCTTTGGTACATCCCTATTAAAAACTTCACATGTTATTGGCTGTACAAGGGGCAAAATAATACCTTCCATGAATTTAACTGACACTGCATGAGGAGTAGGTCACCCCATAAAGCCCTATTACTGTGCTACAGCAATAATGTCATGCTACAGACACAGCACTATTCCAAACCAATCCTGATTAACTCGTGGGGGGAAAAAGGACAACAAAAGAACTTAAAGGCTGCAATTGTATGGCATATTTGACCAGGGCATCACTGCTTGAGAAATGTTAATAGTTTTGCCTGTTTGTTTGAAAAAGAATGAGGAAAAATGATCCATTCCAGTTCAAGCAGCTCCTGAGTCAAGCACTGTTAAATGCCAGTTTCTGTAACAGCCACACACCAGCCTTTTCCCAGCCCTGCCACTGGTACGCTTTTTTCACAGGTGTTTGATGTGGTGTGGCTTTGAACATGAATCTGTGATTTACATGTTCGCATTTGTAGCAAGATTCTTTACTGATCTGCCACTCTTCTCTACAGATATTAAAAAAAGAGCTATTCAAAACATTACCATAAAAGAAAAGCTCCTTATAGACTAAATGTTTGAAAACATAATGGTTTTATTTGGTGTAAAATACAACATACATATGAACAGGGACAGATGAACAAGCAGTATGCACTATGAAGAGGCTGCTAGATAAATGCAAGGCAGAGGATTACAAGTAAAGGACTTCAGAGAAGTAAGCTGTTTTCTGGTGAGGTTACATTAGGAAAGGAGATGAAAACATCTACAATAACTTATTTCCCAAGAAAGTTGCTCTGTTAGCAACTTCCCTATGCGGTTTTAGATTATCATCTTAACATTAAAAACACTGGCAAAATCAGAATCTGTCTTCTGATGTCCAAATTTGTTTCAAATACATTCAAATGAAAAAGCATAACTCTAATTAGTGGCTTTATCTGAAAGGGTCCAGCACTCCCGCTATAAAGCATATTTACCTCACTGTTTAGCGAACACCCTCTAGCAAAATGTGACTGACCACATTTTGCTGAGGTATGACATGCCCAGTGTGAAATTAACATTACAGAATCAGCATGTTTCATTTTGACTCCTACTTTTTACTTCTACTGATGGAATTTTCACATATAGTGCCACTTCATGGCTACATTAACTATACAAAAGTAACAACTGGAATTTCCACCTCAGACACATCAAAAAATCCTAACGCTTATTTTTTTTCTTTTTTTCTTCTTTTCTTAACAAAAATAAATTCCTTTCTTTGTAGAGAACGACCTCCATTCTTCAATAAGGTCCTGTTTGCTATTTCTGAAGGAATGTTAATAGTTAACAATTAAAAACATGACTACAGAAACTAAATACCTATAAATTGTAGGTTTACAAGGAACTAAGGTAGGAGTTTCAGCATGTTATCAGTATTAATAAAAAGTTATTTTAAGCACTAGAAGCAAAAAATATACCATTCAAAACAAAAATTATGGAAAAATAATACCAGTCTACATCATCTTTCTACGGCAGCTTCTGATACATCAGATGTTTTTGGTATTTTAGTCCTCTGCCTCATATCTGAGGATTTTAAAAAAAAAAAAAAAAAATCATTAAAACAGAGTTGAAAAATACCCCAGACACATTTTGTCTTTAAGGAAAATATGAAACTCAAGTAACAAATTACTCCCACTAGTAATGGATTCCTGTCAAGGTTCACTGTACGACTTCAGGTACTGACAAATGTATACACTTCTTAGACTATTTTCTCCCTTTAAAATTGGCTATTTTACCAAGTAGTAGAACAAAGGAATGACCAGGAACCTAGCCACAAATCCCAAAATACAGGCAGATCTTTAAACAGAAGTTTTACATTCCACCTCTGTCCTCCTACAGCATAGGTCTAAGGCATCCATGTTGCCAAAACTCACTTGACATTTGCAGAATGACGATCTTCTACGCAATACAATGGCCAGGGTGCATCTTTTATCACTCAGTACAGGCCTAACCCTGTTTACATACTGTGGGCTTCTCGTTCCCATAAACAAGTGTAGAAGAAATACAACAATGCCAAAGCATCTGGCACATCTCGCATCTGTATCTCTCTGTGTATCACCTGGGGGCTTATCTACCACACCCATAGGTATTTTATAACCTCTCCATACTAAATTGTCTCATTACTTGCTACACAGTAGCTGCTGTGCACATCCCTTAAAAGGTTTGGCTTGCCAAAAAATCAGAGAATAGCCTGCTAGAAATTCTTTTTAGGGGAAAATTTGTAGTCTGTTTTAGAGACAGCTTCACATTTCTAAAACCAAAATGGGAGCAGAACACGGATCCAGAACAAGGATCCTGTTTGGACAGACAGAACAGCACTGCTTACTTGGAAAGCTTTTTACGTAGATCCTTTATCAGTTCGTTCTTCTTGGTGAGAATCTCTTTCATGTTGCGATAGGCAGCTGTTTGTTGAAATTTCTTCTCCAATTCCTACATAACAGTAATATCAACATATTATTTACATATTATGAAAACCCGGCTAATATGCTTTTTAAAAAAGATGACTTGCTTTTCCTCCTCCAGTTTCAGAATAGCAGTTTCTCTATTTACTCAAATTTAGATGAAGTCAGCTAGTAGATTGAAATGAGATTACGGAAAGAGACAGAGAAACACAAACTTTATTTTCTAATGAAATCAGGCTAAAAGTCTTCTGAAGACCAGGAATACAATTGTCACTCAAAAATTTCTATGCAGACAAATGGGCAACTTTTAAGCACTCATCTAGTTATAATCACGCAGTTATTTGTGTTTTTTGCTGTTTTATGTACAATGTGTCTCTGTTGAAGTATCAAAAACACACAGGCACAAGTGTGACCCAGTAAGCTCTGTATCCTGTAGTGTATGCTTGTTAAATTACTAATCAGTTAAAATGTAAGGATCTCATCTTTACGTTGCAATAAAATGCTAACCTTTTCAGCTGTGGATAGTTGATCCTGAACCTTAAGCAAGTCATGTTTTGTTGTCACCAAGTTCTCTTCCAAGAATTTTTGATTTGCAGTAGAGTCATTCAAAGTCTTCTCAAACTGGCATTTCAAAGCTGCCACTTTATTCTCCAGTTCAGTGATATCCTGGTTTGCATTAGTCTTCAATAGAAGAAGTATTTAAAATATGTCAAATGCAAGAGAAGAAACATTTAAAACATCAAGTGCAAAACTGCACATAAAGTGGGTACATCGTAGTTTCTAATAACTATATTAACATTATTCCTGTAACCCCTAAATTAGAAGTGTTTTAACTAAAAAAAAAAAATAGTTAAAAGCACTAATTTAAAACTTTAAAGTTCTGTTAATAAATGCATTTTAAAGATCGCTGGAATGTCTTCTCTGCCAAGTTGAGATTTCAAGTTCTTGCACTTCACTTCTTTAAGAATTAGGTGAAGCCACGGGATGAAACATATCACAACAAGTTATTTAGCATACAGAAATAGTAAATTAAAGTCCAACTTCTGAAAGTCTATGCTATAATGTATTTTCAAAGCAGGTAAAGTATCACAGGCATTTCAAAAGCCATTAGTTTAATACAGGTAGGAAAGGGTGAAAGTGTTAAACCTTGTATTATCATTCAGGTACCCATGCTGCACTATTCTCAGATGCATTACAAAATGAGCCTCCACAGCTGCTTGTGAAGGAACTTTCCTGTTTCCCTGTGAGAAGAAACAACCCAAACTCTTCCAGCCATCAGTTCTGGGTCACAAAACATATTCATGTAACTGTTCTATGGATTCCATAAAACAAGCACACAAGCAAAAAAAACATCTCAGGTTTAAAAGCTCAACTTCAAACTCTCAAAAGTACAATGACCCAGGATGAGGCTGAACCAGCAGCACCTTAAAAAGAACAAAAATCTAAAATTAAGGAGGCTCTGATTCTTTTTCTACATGGAAGGTAAGATTTGAGCACTTGAAACCACTTGATAATAGTGCATGTACAGAAGAAAAGCTTCTTTTGAATTTTGAGACAGAGCGCAAGGCTGCAATGTTGAAAAGCACTACATTATATAATGTTTCAGATCAAAATAGACAGGGATTTTTCTAAACTGTGACATAAGTCAAATATGTAAAAATTCTAAATCCTCAAGTTGAACTGATCCAACAGAGCAGTTACTCCCAAACCATGGTTCACGTTTGGTGTATGGAACCATATTAACTATTAAAAAAAAAAACCAAGAAGAACAAAAAAGGCAGAAATCTCCTGAGCCAAGAGTTGGTCCTTAAGGACCACTGTGGTTTGGCAGATATTTGTTTGTCCAAAGAGTTTGAAAACCACTGCTTTAATGAGCAGCTGGGTTCATATGATATTATTGACACCCATCGTATAAAAATATGGAGTGAAACCAGACAAAACTCAGAATTTTCTCCAAAGAGCTAATACTTTAGTCAATCACCTAAGGTAGTACATTTCAGCATTATATGTCCTAGCTAGTTTCAACAACATATATATGCCTGTAAATAGAAAAGGTAAGAGCTGGAGAAGAAACTGACAGATTATAGAGGACATGAAAGCTGAAGATGCTCAGCAGCCCTGACACTGAGGCCAATTCATGTTTAACCAGAGAAGTAGGATGAGATTTGGTTCCAGTCTTTTAAAACTACAAAAACTATTACACAGGATTTAATAAAACCCTTTAATATTTTAAACCTTCAATAGTTTAAGGCTTAACAAAACAGATAATGTTTGCCATGACTGACAAATCAAGTTCCCTATTAAATAACATTATTGCATACAGATTTTGAAAATTACTAGGTAAAATTATAACATATTAAGAAAGCCAAGTACATACCATAAACCAGTTAGAAAGCAAAATAAAAAGAAATCAGGATCAAAATATAGAAACTAAAATGGAAATGTTTTACGATGTTGAATTTCACTTCCAAATCTGTAAATTTTACAGGAATTTTAAAAAGTCAGTTTCCCAAAATAATGGCATTAAAGTGTTCTAATTTTGTTAAAAGTTTGAACTGAAATGTTTTAAATTTAAGAAATAGTCACACATAAACATACTTTAGAAAAAACTAATTATTGGGAAAACACATGTACAAACTTAAAAAAGTACTAAGGTGACCTGAACAGATTTATCTGTGTCAACCTGTATGACTTCTGGCTTCTTAGGTTTTCTGGTTCCCCCCCCCCCATTTACTTAAAAAATAAATGGTAAACCATTTTTAGACAGTACACTGATACAGGCAGAACTACATAAAATCAAACATTTGCCATCTGACCCACGGTCGTTGACATTTGTAGCAAAACTTCAATTGATGTTTAAGAATACAGGACACTGGACACTAACATACAAGTATTTAGGTTTTTGAAGTCTGAAGTGAGCAGCAGCAAGTCTGGCTTGTTCATGTCAATATCAAGTGTGACAAATGCTTGAAAGAACTAGTGTTTTATTGTTGCTATAGAAACCAGGTTAGATCTCATTCTTTCACTAGTAAATGGGAAGAAACAAAGAGAAATAAGTTTGTATCTGTTAATACAAATACCACCCCTGAGAATATGAACTCTGGAATCCTACTTCCTGATAGTATCTGGATAGTGTCTTATACTTTCCAATAATAATTTACGATGGTTTATGTGACAAAATATGCGTCATAGCATCAGCTAACGTTCTGGATTAACTGCTGACTGACAGACCAGTAGGAATAGACAATGTCAGCAGGAACATGACAAAACTAACTTAAACTTCTGTATTTTCCGGAAAAGAAACACACCATACAGACCAACTTTTCAGATGTACAGGCAACAGTTGCATTGAAAGCAGGTGGTGGTGGTGAAAAGCCTAATTATATTTACCTTTTGATCTCCTTGGACCATCTGTAAATCCTTCAGTGATTTCTCTAGCCTGGACTTCTCATCTAGTGCGGCTGTAGCCTGTGATACATTGAAAATGTAAAACCTCAGAAACATACTTTAATTGAAAATATAAGAATAACCACCATAGGATTCTTAGTTACAGATTTTTTAATACGTAAACAGCATTAAGTATCCAAGCTTACAGGGAAGTTACCTGTGTTTCTATGGTCTTGAGCCTGGTCTTCAATTTTTCATTTTCTTCTTGGAGACAAGCAACTGTCTTTGGGTTAATCAATGAGACAAAAGTTTGTGAACACTCTTGTGCTATTTTGAATTTTCCAAATATTTCAGGTAAGAAAATACACCTCATAGCTTAGGAAAGCAAACAAGCTTCTAAATGCTTATGAAAATGGCCTTCATAAGAAATCAGTAACCCATTTACTTATTCTGTTTCCTGTCTCAGTCAGTGAGAAATTTAAGTCTCCCATTCTACTGCAATATATAGGACTGTTCACTTAGATTTGGTACATGCTTTAATGAACTGAGATTAGTATCTATTAGTATAGAGCTCAGCATCTCGTTAGTATCAAGATTCACAACAAACAAAATTGCACGTTCAGAGATGCAGATCTCATTGCTGATCATCACTTCTATTTTCAATCAAAAGACAAAGGAAGAATTTATTCATAGTTCCTGTTTAAAAGAGACAAACACCAGGTTACTGCACATGTTCTGTGTCACAGGAAATAACCATGCTTTATTAGTCAGAGTAAACTCACCATATAAACTTTGAATTATTTTTGACAAAAAAAAGACATCAGATGCACATATTCAACAAAAACTGTTATGAAACAGATTTTGAAATTATTTTTGAAAAGAACTATACTGATCTACAAGTAAAATACAAGTCTGAATTCCTGAATGCTTTAATTATCTTAAAGGGTAACAACAATTTGATTCAGAGACTGTACTTGACAGATCATTTTGGTAATGCAGGCTAGAAGACAGAAAGCTCAACTGCTCGCTAAGTTTCTTCACTGCCCGTAACTTAGAAGTGTATTGTCAGAAGCGTGGCATTTTAAAGAAGTTCAGTTGAACTAAATGACTCCAATACCTAATAAAACTATTGATAACATTAAATACTAGAATGTGTTTTGTAATTCTGTAAATCTTTAGCGAGTGGGAAATCAGACATTTTCAAAACTAGGGAATTACAAATTCTTTAAATGCCTGTTTCTTTAGGAGCAATTTAACCAACTAACAAAAGAAAAAGGACTGAATGTAATAAGATTGACTGCAAGGGATACAAAAAATGTTTGATAACCTAATAATTTCAGCCAGGTGCATACTTTAATCTACTTCCTTATTGGAAAGCCAGCCATCTGCACGGGACAAACTAAATACTGGTTTCTACTAATTTACCTCATTAAATGGAAAAATAAATAATTACAAAGGCCAAAATGTCTTTGCAAAAGTAAAGTAATATTGCAATACATGCTAGAGACCATAACCGCAAAATAAATTTAAAGCTGCTTTACAATATTAATTTATTAGCATTTTACTTTACACTCTGGGGTATAATACCTTGACAGACACATCACACATACATTACTATCCAGCTATCCAGTTCAGTTGAATAAGCAGAACGGTCACTGACCACAACTGCACAAACAGACAAATTCTTACCTTGTTTAGCAGCTCCGACCCACCTTCATTTAATGGAGCCAGTTTTGGTTTAACGAGATCTGCACTGGGCTAAAGAAATAATAAAGGTTAAAAAATTAAATTGTACAGATTTCTAGGAGGAAGAAAAATATTACTTTAGTCTGTAAAATAACTATTGACCGTCAATTAACCTTTTTTAGTAAAGCAAATGAATGACCTTTTAGTTCAAGTTCATTTTTAAACTGGTATTTTGGCTCCTAAGTTATACACTTTGCTTTCAGCTAAAGTTAAACAAAAATACTGCACAGAGACATAAAAGGACTGCAAGCTTGAATTTACAAAAGACTACTGATGCTGCAGCAACCAAAAGACAAAGGAGCAAGGAAAACACTAAAAAATATTTGAGTGATTGTAAGAGCACAAAAATATTTACACAGCTCCAAATAATTTTCTTATTTTAAGTACTCAGATATAATATATATTAACTAAATATACCTTTACGCTACAAACCAAATAAGGTGCAACCATAATCGTACAAGATAAGATAGAGTTATATCTGTATTGTGGAATTTGCTCAGCTCTTGACTCCATTGACATTCCTTGACAAGCGAATGTCCCAGTCTTTCCCCAGTTTCCAGGGGGAAGGGAATCCAGGAGCAGACGCTCCAACACATCCCTGGTCTGTCTGACTTTGGGATGAGGATTATGAGGCATGACCCAGATGTGCAGAGTCTGCGATGTGGAAACAGCCAAGGCAATTCACTGAGAGCCTGGGTGCAAACTGCAAAATGTTTGTTTTTGGAGACTCTCAAAGATTGTTTTGAAAAAGGGTGGGGTTTTTTTTGTTTTTGTTTTCTCTCTTAAGCACAAAGAGTCAATACTATGTATTTTTAACATCTGTCATAATTCCACATGACATTTGATTAGGATTTTATTAAAACAGAACTACCTTCTTGTTCGAAGATGTAAATTCCGACTTTTCAAACTCAGCAACCTGTTCCAACAATTCTCTTGAAAAGAAAAACAAAGAGAGGCATTTATTTACTAAAAGAGCTATGCTATGAAACACATACCAGGCCGATGCTGTGCTCTTTATTGTATGTAAGACTATTGTTAGAAGTACAGAATGAAGTCCCATGCAAATACAATAAATGCAACAGCTCATGTCATGCAATGGTAGGGTAGATTCATTAGAACCGTAAGATTTAGCATCCTTGATTAAAATATAATCTACTTGGACAACAAAGGCTTTTTAATCAAATCTTACCACCTGCTCTTAACCAATTAATTCAAGTAAGAATATTACTTATAAAAACATCTTCCTGACAAATTTGAAATTATTGTGTATCTTGCTACTTTACAGATGGAAGACTTGAAACTAACCTATCATCGATACAACAGTAAAAGAATAGATTTCTTTGGTTAGGAGAAGAACGCAAACAGTCAACACTCTGAAGTTTTCTTATTATTGAAAGGCACTCTGTATAGTCCAATATATGTTACCGATTCTCCAATTCAGAGACGTCTGTCTGTAACTTAAGGTACCATTTCTCAGCCTGTGAGAAGAGCTGCCGTAGAAGTAAAACATTGGTGTACGTTGTATTTATGAGCTCTGACTCCACTTCGCTGTGTACAACAGTCTGCAGTCCATCCAGCATGTCTATCACCTCATCAACTGTGAAGGTCTCCTCAACAAGTCTAAACAGAGCAGTCAAGACGAGTCACGTACGATAAAGGCAAGAATTTTGCACTGTTATGAGACCTCACTACACAGGTATCACTCTCTTATAATGCAATGTCCCTCTGAAAACATCCACTGTCAATAGTTCTTAGATGATCGTGGCACTACTAATTGGTTACTGTATTTAAATTTCCTCTTACAAATATTACTTCACCTACAGTCTTGCATCAAATTTAGACATCAGAAGCAAGATACAGAGCAATGTCATGCTGTCAGTACCTATGTTAACAGCTAAGAATTCGAAAAACTGAGTTTTGTAATTACTTGACCTGTACCATTTGGAAAATTATTGGGTCTTTCTTCCTCACTAAGAACATACAGATGTAAACAGACAAATGTTGCCCCATAAAGCATCTAAACTTGCAATTGTTGTTAGCATATTTTGCTTTATTCTTGCTCAAAACCATCCCCCATGGTACCTGCTGTCCTTAAGGTCCTGAAAACAAGAATCCACTGTTTTGAGACACAGGCCACGCTTGAAACGAGCAAAGCGCATGTAGTTGATCACTTCATTCTGGTGGTGCTCGTTAAGGCCTAGCTCTGCCTGTGGACAAGGATATAAGGATATAAGCACAAAGACAAATATACACTGAAATAAGTAAAAAGGAGCACAAGAAGACTTGTGAAGACTCGACTTCTGACTAGTTTCTGTCCTTGCTTTCATAGGGTTATCATGCTGACCAGTACGTTAAAAAACAACCACATTTTCATATGTGTCATCCCTATACACCTCATGTAAGTGCTCTCCCTTTAAAAGCACCAATACTTGAAAGTAAGTCCTCAAGTGACCAACACCCTCAGAAAAGTCATACAAAATCAGAGACAACCAGAGGATCAGAACCAGCAGGACTCTAGGGGAGAAGAAGCTCTTGGATAAATTTGTCTTTGTGGTACACGTACACGTGTATAAAGTAGTTGAATGATGTATCTTTTATAGATCTAATAACAAAAATACATGGGAAAGTATGTTATGTTTCTTTGTCAGTTTATATGTAAAATCTCAAGACTTCTCATATAATCTTAAGCGATAATCTGAATTTGTTTCTCAACAGCCTATTGCACAGAAACAAATATTCCCAGGGCAAATTAAGAACCATTTTTAGATCTGGCTAACTCACCCTTCTATGCATGTCTGTACTTCAGAAGAAGGAGTATCAGCATGGCCAATTACATCAGAATAAATCTTACTTGTGCAGGTAGCACCAGACACGAGGAGGCACAACAGGGCACAAACCAGAGTTTATCATCACAGCCCCTGCAGAGCTGATGCAACCAAAGGTTAAGTCCATTTCATTCACTCCAATGCACCAAGCCAGTACTGCTGGTGTTGGAGACAGCAGTGTAGCAGCTTAGGCGAAACAGTTAATCTGATCACCTTGTCCTTATTAACCCAAGTGCGCAGGGCAGCTCCAGTGAAAACACAATACCTGGATGAACAGTACTGAAAAGGCGATCACAGACCCCAACTGCCTGGAAATCACAGGCAGTCTAGGAAACAGCAAGAGCAGCAAATGAAAGAAGCTCTCATAACGTGGCTGCGAGTCCTGCGTCTCCCACCAAGTCCCACCCACATCTTGCAAACGAGAGATCATACAAAAAGCTCAACTAACTCTCTCTTTGCTGCTGCTGGGTTTTCTTCAGGCGAAAAGTTTCCGTTGATTACAGACAGCAGGCCACATGCCAACACCAGTGCTGAAACCTCACCATCTAGAACGCACCCTCAAAAGATAAGCAGGTGTAGCAAGACTAATGTCATAGGTCAATAGGTTAAATTTTAGAAATAGCAGTAAGTTTAATAGAACATCTTGAAATCTCCCAGAGTCTTTCTCAGGATTGGACCCAACAGAACTCACAGAAGAAGATAAAAGACAGATGACGACCCTGAGACGACCCTGAAACCAAGTGGGACCTGAAACCAGCAAGGGAGAATTCTGCTAAGACAGAAGAATAGAGAGAACTTAATAAATGATGTACTTAAAGAGACGGAACAGTTGCTTAGAAACTTATGAAGATTCTAGACTTCATGTAATCTGTTTAAGAAATGTACTGGTTTAGGGAGTTGAGCTTTGCCACTCACTGAGGTGATGGCCCAACTCTGAGTTGTGAATAAAGCAATACCTAGTGTAACCCACTCGTGTGAGAGTAAAATCTTTAACACTGTGTCCAGTGTTTGAGTATCTTCAAGGATGGAGACCCCACCACCTCTCTGGGCCAGTGCTCAGTCGCCCAACACAGTGAAAAAGTGTTTCCGGGTGCTGAGGTGAACCTCCTGTGTTTCAGTTTGTGCCCACTGTCTCCAGTCCTGTAGCTGGGCACCGCCGGGAAGAGCCTGGCCCCGTCCTCTGTGCGCCCTCCCTTCAGGTATTCACACACACTGACGGGATCCCCCCGAGCCCTCTCTTCTCCTGGCTGAACAGTCCCAGCTCTCTCCGCCTCTCCTCGTAGGAGGGATGCTCTGGTCCCTTCGTCACCTCCGTGGGCCTTTGCTGGCCTCTCTCCAGTAGCTCCGTATCTTTTCTGTACTGGGGAGCCCAGAGCTGGACACGGCGCTGCAGGTGTGGCCTCAGCAGTGATCTGCTTCCCAGATATCAACTGGTAATACCACACTGCTGTGACGAGCAGGTCTTGGACACTTGCAGATTGTAGGCGAGAACTTCTCGTCACGGGTTCTCAGCGTGCCAACTCAGAAAGATGCCCTCCTAGACTTGCCATCTGTGAATAGACAAGGACTTGCGGGGGATGTGACGGTAGATGGCTGTCTTGGCCATTTAACTTGTAGGGATAAAGAAAAAGTGGAGGCACTCAATGCATTCTTTGCCTCAGTCTTTAACAATACTGATAGACCTTGGGCTGCCCGGTCCCCTGAGTCAGAGGACTACGAGTGTGGGAACAGCCATTTGTGGACACTGAAAGTATAAGGGACCAGCTGTATCAGCTGAATGTTCCCAACTCCATGGGGCCGGATCGCATTCATCCCAGAGTACTGAAGGAGCCAGCGGATGTTAGGGCATGACCCCTCTCCATCACCCACCAAAGGACTTGGGAGTCTGGGGAGGTCCCTGCTGACTGGAAGCTAGCCAATATTATTCCAATCTACAAAAAGGGCGTGAGGGAAGGCCCAGGGGACCACACACCTGTTAGTCTAACCTCTGCTCCTCGAAAAATTATGGAGAAGATTCAACTGAGTACTACTGAAAGGCACTGAAAGAATGATGCAGTCGTTAGGCACAGCCAGCACAGATTCACAAAGGGAAAGGCCTGTTTAATCTGATATCCTTCTCTGATAGGGTCACCCGCCTCCTTGATGAAGGGAAAGCGGGGGATGTAGTTCCTCTGGATTTTAGTAAGGCTTTTGATACTCTCCCTCACAGGATCCTTCTGGACAAGTTGTCCAACTGGGGGACGAGCGGGTTCACGCTGCACTGGCTGAAGCACTGGCTGAACGGCAGAGCTCAAAGGGTTGTAGTGAATGAGGCTACATCTGGCTGGCCACTGGTCATCAGCGCTGTTCCTCACGGCTCAACTCGAGGGCTAGTTCTGTTACATTTAGTTAACAGTCATCTGGATGCAGGAGTTGAATTAATGGGATGACATTGAACAAGTCCAAATGCCGCATTCTGCGCCTAGGACAGAGTAATGCCGGACACAAGTCTAAATTGGGAGATAGAGTGGCTGGAGAGCAGCCCTGTAGAAAGGCATCTGAGGCTGCTGGTCGACACCAGGCTCAACATCACCCAGCAGTGTGCCCTGGCAGCACAGAGGGCAAACTGCATCCGAGGCTGCATCAAACCCAGCACCACCAGCCGGTCAAAAGAGGTGATCATCCCGCTGTATGCAGTGCTCCTGCAGCCTCAGCAGGTCCGTTAAAGAAACAAACGACAACTGGCATGAAGCAGCCACCGTGACGGGTTTCTTTGCTTCCTATGTACCAGCTGACTTGCTACGGGAACCCTCCGCAGTGCATCATCAAATACCAAATGGCCTGAAACAGGCAGAGCTCATGGGTACTAGTCACTCAGTCATGATCTTCATTCATCTGAAACAAAATGACAAAAACTTCAGTAGTATTCCCAACAAAACTGCTTTTTTGGATACCTCTTTGCTACTGATAAGAGGAGTGGCCTAAGGAGAAAGGGACAACAAACACAACTCTTCGTTATATGTACTTGCTCATGCTTTTGTCCATTCATGGGAAACACAGGGCTTCCACGTGGCAGGCGCTTCTACACGCTTCTCAGATTCTACATGACACCAGGGAATTAGGTCTGGGAACACTGAGTACATGAAGTAAGTAATTCAGGATAGATGTAGGTAACCATTAAGGCGAACAAAACCATAGACAACGTCTTTCTGTCAGAAGAGAATGATGAAGTGTGGTTTTGTGTAGTGAACTAAGAAATCTAGCTAGGACTGCCAAGACTAAAAGCTGAGTGGGTAAAAGGTGATTCTGACAGGGGGAGATCGCGACCACCAACCCATGGACCACCTACCCAACTGACACCACCTACCCAAAAGAGAACAATGCAAAAGGATGACTGAGTCTGCGCAATAATTTACATGCCAAGCAAGCAAATTTGTACCAATCACCAAAGAGAATAATAATTAATAAATATGTACAGATAAAATAATGATGTATATTTTTGATCTACATAAACCCCATGGAAAAGGTATGAGGTCTGCACGTTAGCTGGAGCTATCCCCCGTGCATCCAGCGCTACAATAAAGAGTGCCTGCCTTTTAACACTACACTGGTGTTACGAGCTTTTATTCTCCGATTTTCGGTGACACTACTACTAATATTAATAATAAATATGCAAAACAAACTAGGTACAATACCATTTTCTCACTGCCCAATGACTGATTCGCAGCCAGTTCCTGAGCAGCGACAGCAGAACCTGCCGGTTTCCCCGAGCTCACAAATTTCACTGATTTCACCAAACTCACGAAATCCGTATAGCTTGCCAAACTCCGGGAAAAAGACCAACCTCCCGGAAAAGTTCAACCCCCCACAAGAGAGAGACAGGAGAATTTGTGTTTTTAAAAAAGGATTCCTGCCCCCCGCAAAATCTGCCTTTACCAACTGAGCATGACATCTATGGTACAGAATATTTCCATTGGCCAGCTTGGCCTCGTTGTCTGGCTCTGCTCCCTCCCAGCTCCTGCACACCTGCTCATCAGCTCAGCACAGGAGGCTGGAGAAACTCCTTGAGATCTTAGCAACAGCTAAAACCACCACTCTTATCAACACTCTTCTCATACAAAATCCCAAACACAGCAGCTACAGGGAGGAAAATTAGCTCTGTCCCAGCCAAAACCAGGACACCATCTTTTGGGATCCTGTCCAAATGGTGCAGATGCATTTCCTATGCTCTTTGGCAGGAAAGGAACAAGTCCTTTCTCCAGTGCTCTGAGCTCACTGTTGTGGACCACATTGGTGTGGAGAATGCCTGCATGTTTGCTCAACAAACTTTTGGTCCTAAAGCCGTAACACATGCTGGGGAGGGGGAACTTGTGAAATACACTGATACAGAAATGTCAAGTACAAGAGCC